AATCCCCAACATTCTGTGATTCTGTGACACAGCAAAGCCACCGCGGTCCCCAACAAACCCCAGAGCATTACATCCAGAGGTGTAAGAGCTCTGGAAATAACCTTGCTTCCTCCAACGGTACCAATTGTCACAGCAGTTGTCACCTCTGCCTCCAGAGCCAGCCTGCCTTTGGGCAGCCAATGTCACACCCCCTGCAGCTGCTGCCTGGGCAGCCAGTTACTCAGCACCACACTGACTCTCATTTCTTCTCTCCAGGATGTTTCAACCGGGCAGCTGAGGGGGTCTATCCAAACTGTACAAATTCAGCCCTTTAAGTTAATTCATGGGGATTTAGTTTAAAAGGAGAAAAAGCTAGTTCCAGTTTAAAAACACACATTCACTCCCCCTGGCAATTCACTCTTCCTGCGCCCCTGCCCACACAGGCACCACCTGTGCCAGGACAGACTGGATTAAGCCCGAGTGAGCCCAGTGAAAGGAAAGAAACAGACATTAGAGGCCGGGAACTGCTGCCTTGCACACCAGGTTACGGTGCCATCATTTATTGGTTGCTGATTCAGACCAGTTTACAAATGTAACATGCAAGATGAAGTAAACCAGCCGGTTATGATGAAAACACGGGTATCGCACAGCTCAACAACGCTATGAACGGCAAATCCAGATCAAGTCCCGGTGCAGGTAGCAAACGATGCACCCACCCCTTACTTCTTCTCTTTAGTAAAAGGAACTGCTTTACTTAGGACTAAAAAGCGTACGGATGGCTCAACACATTAAATATTTAATTAATCCTATTTGATAACTTGATTACAGCCAGAGAATCTACTCGGATGCAGCAGCACAAGAGAACATGGAGCCGGCTAAGAAACTGCTCCGCTATGACAAGAGCCTTCAGCGTGACGTGGGAAATCCCTGCTTGAACCACAGTTCATCTAGAGGACAGGAGCGCAGCCAGGAGCGCTGAACTCCCATCGTATCTCAGAGGTACCGCTTCCTTTGGGCCTCCAATCAGTCGTTTCTGGTTTGAAACAGGCGGCAGGACCTGAATTTGGAAGGCAGCACAGACACCCCGCGGTCCAGACAGCGCTGTGACGCCGTGTCCCCTCCCACGGTAACTCAGCGCAGGCTGGGTGTGCGCAGACCCGCAACCGCTTCAGCCACAGCCCTCAGGAGAGCAGCACGGCCCAGCTCACCACCAGCATCACCACTCCGAACCAATAAATAATCTGGGGAAAAGGGAAAAGCCACCCACGCCTCTTGCAGTGGAAATTTTTGTTCAATACCACGTACCTTGCTATGACTAAACTCAAACAGAACCTCCACTAAAAACAGTAGGAGCTAAAAAAGTGCAGCGCTGAATGTAATTATTCCCACTTTTATACTTTCTCGAGCTCTTTAAATGATGCCTCTTCATACCCTTCTCAGAGGTCAACGTCTGGGAACTTAAAGAGCCTGAACCCTTGATTTCTCCAACAAGAAGCCACAGATTAAAATTAAAGCAAATAAAAAACATAAAATCAAATGCCCAGAATATTTTCTTTCAGGCCACAGAAATGAAAAGCAGAAGCGCATCTTGGTTTTCAAATGACAGCTTATCAGGATCTTTGTTTCACGTTGGCTTGAGAGCATAAATGCACCTAACAATTTTTTCTAAGGCTTCCTCCAGTTAATTAGTAGCATTTTCTTTTAAAAAAGGGGTTTATTTTCCTTTTCACACCCTACATTAATATTTATATCAGCAACAGGCTGCAGTAAGTCTTGTTCTCAGACAGGCTGTGGCACAGCAGTGGATCCTTCCTTTCCAAGCATCAGTTGCTCCATTTCCGAGGCGTTTGCCACCAGGACGACTAAGGTTTGCAGCGCTGGACGAAGCGTGGGTAGAGACAGACATCTCGGATATGGTGTCTGTTCAGAATCCAGGTCAGGAACCGTTCCAGTCCCAAACCATATCCACCGTGAGGGCATGTACCATATTTTCTCTGGGAAATTACAATCAGAGAGTAGATATTAAACATTTTCTTGTTTTTTTATATTAGAATTGCAGTAACACCACCAGAAAAAACTAAACCCAAACCCTCCCCAGATTAATGCTAAATGATGAGGAACATGGACCATGCCCTTGTCAGGCGAGGTACTTGTGCTTGGTTGTCCTGAGTTTCCTGAGGCAGCGTAAGGACTAGAGGAGGAAAAAGGAAGGCGAGAGAGAAAAGTCTTAAGGACGCTTTTTTAACAGCCTCCTTTTCTCCTCCCTTACGCTGGAGCTCAGCCATTCAGGTCTGGGGCCCAACCTCTCTCTATCCAACGACAACCGCTGCAGAAGATGTTACAAGAGGAAAACACCTGCACGGAGCAGGCTAACGAAGGTGAACTGGGAAGGGCAGTGTGGAACCACAGAAACAGCAGTGACTGTCACAGAATGGCAGCTGTTACCCAGCGCCTTTTGTCAATGGTTTAACGATTATCTGCTCTGGGCCACCAAAAATATGTTTACAATTTAGACTGCATCATCCTAAAAAAAAAAATAATTAAAAAAAATCAAATATCGTATCTGCCGAGCAGCACATCTCATCTGTCTGACCAACCTGGTCCGTGTACCAGTAGTAGGGCGTGGGATCAATGCCCTCCCTCTTATAGCCCTCGAGCAGCTCCTCGCTGTCCCAGATACGCATGGAGCCTCCAACAATCTCACCAACGTTGGGCATCAACACGTCCACCTGCAACACACAACATGAGACCAAAGCACTGCAGTGGATCTGCCTGCGGGAGCGGGAGGAGGGACACCCCAACGTGAATCCACACTTCGGAACGCGTTTCACCCTGCAACTTTAATTCTCTGCGACAGGAAGCACGGCAGCTCCTTGCAGCCCCAATTTACAGGTGGAATTAACTAACTGACCAGGTTCTCTACCTGACTCTCTCACACTCTTGGCCACACTGACCTGTAAAAAAAACCAAAAAACAAACCCACAAAAAACAAACAAACAAACAATCCAACCGCACCACAAAACCACAAGCCCAGCAGCATTCCTAACAACCAGCTCTCCTCCCTGCAGCCAGGCAGCTCGCCTTCAGCCAGCGCAGCCGCCAAGACGTGACAGAGCCGGTGTCGTGAGGCTGGCACTCACCTCTGGTCAGAGAGGAGCACGCTCACTACGATCCACGACATTTCATTCAGAGCTGCTTCATTTATTTCTCAAGGATCAACAAGTCGTGCCAAGAGCCGTGCCCAAAACAAAAGCAGGTTTAAGACGTTCCTGTGGCACTCACTGCTCCTGTGCTCACTCACACGGACACTCCCCGCTCCCCTCAGGGGCCTGCAGCAGCACCACCTAAAACACCAACTTACAGATTCGGTGAGGCGGGAATCGTCGTGGCAGCGCTGCATGTAGAAAGACTTGATCTCTGCAGGGAATCGGCACAACAGGATCGGCTCATTGATGGTGTCTGTCATCAGTCGCTCGGGAGCTTCAGGAATATCCTGAGGTTACAGGAGGTTTGTTAATATTCAAAACCAAAACCACTCCAATACCCTTTGGTCTCAAACCTCCAGGCATGAAACAAAGACAGTTTCAGACCACACGTGTCCACACGTCCATCGTGATGGACACACATTTTTAAAACAAATTTATCTTTGAAGAAACTATATTTGTATGTAGAAACATGTACGTAGGGGAAAAAAAAAATGCTCTGTTCCATTACAATCCAAGTCTTCCCGATGTTTCAGGCAGAAAACTGTGGAAACCCTCACCTGAAATGTAAACTTTCCAAACAACCAGTAAACACCGAAGAGCCTCATCTCCTTCCCCCCAATACCGTTCCCTACAAACCTTTAAGTGTTTCCTTGTTATGGACATGGGCTATTTTTTAAAAACCCCAACCTAGCAGTTACACAGACAAGGTTATTTGTTTTTTACCAAAGTTTGCTGAATGAAATTTGACAAAACTGTGAACACCTGGCGGAAGTTTCATTTTGATCAATTTACCGTTTAAAATCTGGGGAGAAGTGAAGGGTGACATCAGTCACACTGACAGACAGGGAACCCCGGTGATGATGTGATCACGGCTCGTTAAACAAACACGCTTTGTTCAGCCAACAAACTGTCCGTCCCTAAAAGGTTTAATCTGAACCTTTATCAGCCAGTGGTGTCACACTTTCCTTAGGTTCCCAGTTAAAGTCAGATTCGATTTCTCTTTTCATCTGTTGTTTGTTTTAACCCAAGTGAACGCTGCGTTACAGCCCCGACTGCTGTGAGGGGGCAGGAGGAGCCAACTACAGCCCGTGCAGCGAGGAAAGGGTGAGGAGCACGGGCCTGGTGCAACGGCAGCTCACAGGGCGTAAGGCAAGATTCCCCGTGTCCCTCTGGAACTGTAAGTTTGTCTTTCTGTCCCTCTATCGTCTCGGATACAGACGGGGAACACAGTAACAGCAAAACCCCCAAACATCTGATCTCCAGCTGCCAAGCTTCCCTCAGAATATGCTGTGCAGACTTTGAAGTTAAGCAATTGCATGGTCCCCCCCTAAAAATCTCACTTCCCTTAAATCCTTTGATGACTGTGGCTACAACATCAACTCCTCTTCAGCTCCTTCAAATTACTCTCTTACATGTTGGAGCGAGACAGGGAACAGACGGACAGATGGCAACACAGATTTTGATTCCAATGTTCAAAGACATGATGTGAAACCCCAACTCACGCCTGCGTTCCCCAGTACAGCATCACTGAACCTCCCAGCACAGTCCAGACAAAATTCCAGGCCTCACTGAAGTTTACAGCAAAACTTCCTTTAACATAAATGGGACCAGAGTTTCACTCCTTGTGGGCATCATTCCAAACAAACCACAACAGATTCACACAGCAGCAACAGCCTCAAGCTCCAAACACACTGTTCTCCAACGCCCTGAGTGCAGGCAGTGGGGTTTTGTTTGATTTTAGTGCCCAAGAGCCTTGGAAAGACTTACTTCCCCAAACTCATAGTACGTGCCATCCTCCTTCTTCACATCGTGCTCCTTCAGCCACTCGATGGCTTCGCTGTAGTTCATCCGTCGGAAAGGGCGTTTCGGGGGCTGGAAGCCCTGTGAATACGAGCAAAGACACCTGTAAGAGCAGCACCATGTTTAAAGAACAATCCTTTCCTAGGTGACCAGCGAGTCCACTTCCAGATGAAGCGTCCACATTACCCCTTCCAGCTCACACATCAACAGATTATTACTTAATAAATAAAAGAATGAATCAAGGTCAGTAGCGAAAAGCTAGACCCAAAGAGAGCCACCTTCCAGCCCTGTGGCACTCACAGAACAGATGCTGAGGAGATGAAGACAGGAAGTCTTTCCAAAGCCGTTTCCTTTCCAGTAGGAATTCAGGGCACACGCGAGGGCTCCAAACCGAGCCCTCAGAGGTTCCACAGGCAAAGCCACAACAGAACATCTGCACTCCCCTGTGCACAGAACCTGCCTCTGGGAGGTGGGCTGTGCTCCGGCTGTGTCCTACCCCCTGACCCCTACCCCAGCCCAAAGGTGAAACCGAGTCTCCCAGCGCTTGAGGAAAACAGCTCAAAATGAGGGGTGAGGGCATCTGTGTGTGCTCGGAGAGAGGCGAGTGAGGGAGACAGAGCAGCCTCTCCAAGCCAAATCCGAAAGGCGACACAAGACAAAGGGTCTCTAACAGATGGGAAGAGCTTTGCAGAGCTCCACGTTCCGGGGTATAAGGCAGAACACCAGTTGTTTCATTGCTCCCTCGTGCTCAATCAGCGAGTACCGGCCGATCAATATCACGAGCTCTGGGATAGAGGTTTTATTCCACCAGTACCACACGCGATGCGATAAATCCCAGCACACTGCTGGCTCCTGGGACTCGCTACCAGGGAGCTTCTCCCCCGCAGTCCCCTGCCTCTGCGAGTCATTATCAGCCTTGCAGCACTTTCAGGCTTTTGATGTTATTTCATATTATTAATAACAATATGAAGCAAGAAGAGCCCGCTGCCATGCCCTGCCTTCCCCACAGGAACATTCTGATCAGGAAAGGCTAAAGATGATATTTTCTTGGCTGCTCGTGACCGTTCCGCGTTGCTGCCTACCGGGTTGAGGTCATACAGCAAGCTCGACGCCGGCGACTTCAAGACTCTGTCCACTACGTCGCAAACCAAACTCTCCAGACGCTCCAGCAAATTCTCAAAACTTATAAAAGGACATTCAGCTTCAATGTGAGTGTATCTGAAACACAAGGACACACCGTTACAAAACCACACACAAGCAATAAATCTTTAGCTCTGGAAAAAAATTCTCATTTTAAAAAAACCCCGTAACCCTAAAACAAGTAACTTTTGTCCCCTTTTCCATCTTTCCTAATTCTGCACTGTAAAGGAAATAAAGCCATTTAAAAAAAGAAAAAAAAGGAAAGACAACAATATGATCTGTATTTTCTAAAAAGACAAAGCTTCCTAAAAATGCACCAGCTGTGTTTTGCTCAGCCCTTCCTTCACTAAACGTCGCTGTTGCTGGGACCAGCTGGACCTTCACCAGGACACAGCGTCACCCCCGATGTACTTGTGCTCAGTCCCTCTGCGTGAGCATCACGCTGTCTGCTCACTGTCACTGTGTCACCCAACCGCCCGCTGCTCCCCCGCTGCACAAATTCACTGGTACAGAAACAGAAGTTCACTCTCTCCATACTCTGCCAAGTGCCTGCGGGTCCTGGATTGCTCCGCTCTGTACGACTGGGCGACACAGAAAACATCTCCCAGCGCTGGGATGCAGGTCTCCAGGTAGAGCTGGGAGGACTGCGTTAAATACGCCTCTTCACCAAAATAATCCAGTTTGAACAGGGTTGAGCCTCCTTCCACCTGCGTCTGCACTAGAGTTGGTGGTGTTACCTGTCAAAGAACACGGCTGTCAGGACTGGAGGGAAGAATTAAGGACAAAGATGACAAGACCTAAGAGCAGTGATGTGCAGCACGCTCGTCCACACCACCACCTACAGAGCTTCTGCAGGCACACGCACGGCTCCGATACCCTGCAGCAGGTTAGAGAGGTACACAGGCTGCTTGGCAGTCACACAGGACACCCACACACCTCTGAGATCTACATCTATGGAAGCCATATAATAATAATGATAATAATGATAATAATGATAATAATGATAATAATGATAATAATAATAATAATAATAATAGCAGCAGCAGCTGTTTCCTAAGAAACAGCGTTTCTTTTGCCCCTTTCAGGTCAGTCAGAAAGTCTACACCATTTTCCCAGGGAAAAGACAGCCCTGAAGTGAGGACACGAATCACCTGCTGACCAGGGAACACGTACTTACTTCATAATATCCATTGGCAAAGAAGTGATCCCTGAAGGCCTGGACGACCATGGAGCGCACCTTGAAGATTTTGGACATGTTCTCGCCTCGAATCATCATGTGCCTGTTGTTAAGCTGCACATCAACCTCCGAATCCTCGTTGAGGAGATTGTCAGCCCCTCCTGCTGGGGCCAGACCAATAAGCTCCCAATAATCACAGTTCAGCTCGTGGCCTCCCGGAGCCTGACAATTCAAAGAGAAACAACTATTTCACCACTCCCTGCCCCTGGATGTCACCACCTGGCATCACGGCAGAGACATCAATTCAGTGTAAACAAAAGATGCTAAAATCCTAACTGCAGCATTTTCCAAGTGACTGCTCTGTAACTCAGTCATTCCACGCTTGGAAGTGCCATTTGTAACCCACCATCAGTCTCTGAGACTTCACGTGAGCGGGACTGAGCGCTGCAGTCGGGTAATTAGAAGCTTCCAGATGCACTGAGCTGAAGGATAATCTGTCCCAGCCAGCTGGGTGCACTCAGCTGGAAGAACAGAAAGCTGAGCAGGGGGAAAACAACTCCTGGATGGGTGGTTAGAAAGAAGATGGAGCCAGACTCTCTTTGGATGCATCCAGTAAAAGGACACGTGTCTCAAGATGCACCAAAAAATTCTTTCCAGGGAGGTGAAATGCTGGAGACCAAGGCAGACTGCAGTCTGCGTCCTCAGAGACGTTCAGAGCCACATCTGGACAAGAGCCTTCGCAGCCTGACCTCACATTAGATCTTTTTCAAGAGGAGGGTGGACCAGGCGGCCTCCAGAGGTTCCTCCCAACCAAAACCACTCTGTGGTAACTTACACTGCGCACTGGTTGTGGCTGGGAGAGAGCTCACTGTCTTCAGAGGAGTTTGCATGGTGCTGCAGTGGCACCAAGAACCCTCCTGTACGCCTCAGAACACTAAACACACACACACACACAAAGGGTGAAGAGTCCTCCCAGCTATCAGAAGACAACGCAGACCCAAGGCTGCAGTGTGGCATTCCAGGTACTTTGTCCTTTGTCCTGTCTGAGCCACATTCTCCTACTGGATGGCAAACTCCCAAAAGTGGAAAAACCTTGCTTAGGTCACGACAGAGGAAGAACTGTGGGTACTTTTGAGTTTGTCAGAGAGCCCTGAGCCACCCTTCCGCACTGGGCAGCGCCTGCTGTTCCGTGCTGGCTCATCTCCCCCACCCCGTTCGCTGCCACACGGGGACAGAGGTCTCTGTGCCACCGCCCAGCCCCGTCCTGCTGCCCGCGCTGCAGCCCGGAGCTCCTCCTGCTCTCACCAGCTCCCCCGTGTGGGTCACAGCAGCCTGCGGGCCCCTCAAAGGGCATTTTTCTCATTTTCAGGGTATAAATGCAGATTTTCAAAGTCTACTCCACAGATTTTTACAAATCTGGTGGTTTTGTTCACTAAAAGCATCTTATCATTGTGATGAGACATGAAAACATGAAGGCTCCCAATGTCCAAAGCATTAGGAGCAGCAACACGTCAGGAGTTACTCTGATCACCAGACTGTGAAGCTGTTTGGAGCAGTGATCCCTGTTTGGCTGTGTTTATTTCCACAAGCCCCAGCAGCATGAGCTATGAAGGAAAGGAAATCTTGCCAACTTCTGGTCAGCAAACACAGCAGGGAGGGGACTCGGATATAACCCAGCCTGGCTCTCTAACCTTCGGTCGACCTCCTGGGGACAGGAGCCGACTGGCAGGGACAGCTCGGACAGTTAAACCTCCCCAGATTGCATCTGCAGAACACGCCACACAAAACTGCATCAGCTACAACCCACCACGACAGGTTCAACTGGGACCCCGCTCTACAGGCAGCCCCAGGAGGGACTGCTTCACTCAGACACTGCCTAACGCATCTTGGAAACACTGTTGGAAGCAGTGACACTCCAAAACCTGCTGTTTTCTTTTTCAGAGGTGTTTCTTCTCCCCGTTACCTGACCAGAGTGAGTCACTTACTCAGGAGACCAGACAGGAGAATACAGATCCCCACTCCACACAAAGGAACAACTCAAGAGCTGATGACAATTTTGAGTACGTGTCTGAAGGAAGAGCCAAGCTTACAGACTAGCAAGGTAAAACATGCCTCTGTCCTCGAAATCTCAACACCACTGCTTTGCCTTCTCCTGCAGAAAAAGGGCGCTGCTGTCAACAGGCTCATGTCTTAAAACTGACTCCCTCAGATCGAAACAGAGCAGACGTGGCCTGAGCTTGCTGCTGCTGCTGCTGCTGCTGCTGCATCACGGGTTCTGTGACACAGACACAACTTCTGCCTTTAGCCCGAGTTTCCCAACAGTAACGGTGTGCAGATCTGTGAGAGGCACAAGGCACAAGCAGCATCATATTCTGAGACCTAAAGCCACACCTGCCAAGTCACTAACCCGAGACCACCGTTACCAACACATTGTGACAAACCAAGTCACAGCACTGCCCGGCTCGTGCACCTGCCACGTGCTGGAGGACAAGCACCACACGGTGAGGAGCGTACAGACCTGTCTCAGGAAGAGAGGAGGAGAAATCCCACATTCCCAGCCTCACAAAATAAAACCTGAACAAACCTTGTTAGGGCAAACAAAGCTACATCATTTATTTAACACACGTTCCCGCTGCTCTATTCTAAGCATCATCTGTGGGATGTATCAGTGGAAAATGGTTTCAGGCACAAGCAGAACAGTCACACAGTTCACGTGTCACACACCGAACTGCGGGTGACAGCAGCAGCTTTGGCACATTCGGTCTTTTCTCTAAACCAAATTCCCACCAAAATAACGTCACCATGATTCCCAGCTCTGCTTCTCCTTCCACCAGGAGAATGATAAACTGGGAAAGGGGAGGACCCAAACACACAAACTGGGGTACCTGCTTGCCTTCAGGAACGAGGTTCAGCATCCCATACACTGCCACACTGCTCTCCGTGGAGAGAACGAGCCCGTTGTAACACTGACACTGCGGAGAGGACGGAGACGAGGGCACAGTTAATGTCATTTGTTATTTTAAGTTTTCTTGTGACATCCATTGGAGCCACAGACAGGATTAACTCATAGTGACTTCTGAATAGTCCATATTGACCAAAACTCTCGTGGTAGGAGCCACAACTTAACAACAATACAACTTGACCAGCAAATGCAGGAGAACTGCCAATTGTCTACAGGAAAGAAAAACAGATGAGGTACGAAAACTTCACACACGACAGAACAGAATGAAACCATCACAACTTACCAGCTCATCCGAAAGGACACACTGGAGAAACCCTGTGCCATCTCTCAGAACAACAAACATCAGATTCTTTCCTAGATAAAAAAAAAGAGAAGAAAAAAAAACCCCAGAGAGCCTCAGCTTTATTCATCGATCCGCTGGAGCAGACCCGCTCCCGAGATACACTAATGGCTGGTGTGCAGGTCACGGCAGAAGGACTGGGGTCACACTCCCCCGTCGCTGCAGGTAAGCCCTGAGGCACCAGCAGAATTACAGAACCTTTCAGAGCTGGTTTCTGTTTAACAAGTTAAAATAAGTTTCAACAGACATCAGGAGCTGCAGGCCTGCTCCAGTGCCAGCAGGGCTGGGGCTGCACTGCCACACACCTCCGCTGTCCCTCCGCTCCCGTGTGCGGGAACACCGACTGCACCGGCCCCGGGCACACCCAACACAGACCGAGCGACGTCACCCGCCTCTGCACAACAGCATCTCATCACACAAATAACCTGCTGGAGACTGCCATGACTTAGTCTCTTCTGCTAGAGACTGCTGGGGCAGCCAGGCTCCCAGCTGCTTCGGCAAGTCCCTCAGTGGCGACCTGAGCCGGTACCTGTGGAGCCAGAACCGCCTCTGCCGCGCGCTCCCGTGCCCTGACCGAAGCCACCAAACACTCTGACAGCAGGTATTACAAGCTAAACTTATTTCAAAATAAGTTATGCTACTTTATAGAACTTTAAAATTCCAGTTTGCTGATTTCACTATGAGCAGACTCTGGTCAGCTCCTCAGTTTGCAGGATTAGTTTAAAACACAAACCGAGTGTTTTGAAGAATCTCTTCAGGACTGGCCTCCAAACAGAAAATCCTGGGAGATTTCAACCAAGAAACGTCTACGAGCTCATACACCGGGCAGCTGTAGTGACCACTGTGATCAACCAAAGAGGGCATCTAAACAATGGTTTAAAAACGTAAGAACAGGTGCTGATTCATTGGAAATGTCCAGGTTTTGAAGGCTATTGCATTTGTTCCACCTCTCTGCACAGGTTCAACACTTCCAAACGCTCGTGGCTTACCTTGCCTCCGTAACCTGTGAATCCAGCCAAACACCTTCACTCTCTGCCCTCTGTAAGCCTCCAGAGCATCAATCTTCACCTGGAAAGCCGGGAAGAAAAGCAATCAAACAGAGAAATGATTCAGCACTGAGACGGCGTCTTCCTCGTGATTATTTAGAATATGAGTGCAGGTGACACGGCTCCTCCCTCCCCAAAACGGCTCCTCCCTCCCCAAAACGGCTCCTCCCTCCCCAAAACGGCTCCTCCCAGCAGCAGGTGAAGCTGAGTTCCCCAGGGGGCACAAGGCCTCCAGACTCTGTGCGGACAAGACGCTGTACCCAAGCTGTGGTGGGTCAGCACTGGATCTTACTCACACATTTAGGCTCTGGAAGATCAGGATCATTCTTGATTACAACCTTCTTAGCTTCCTCCAGGTTCTTCTCCCTTCTTAAAAGATCTTCTGCCTGGTTTAAAATCAAATCAAATAAAAATAGCATTAAACAGCTGTACCCAGGCTTTGGCAGATCCCCGCCCTTCACAACTACTGGAGACTGTAACACACGCTTAGAGACACCGATATTGTAACAACCCTTCCCCGGGGCTGCAGCTGCTCCAATTCCAGAGCAGGAAACAACACACAGAGGCATTTTCCTCATTTCCACTTTTCTCTGGGGCAACAGACTGCAGTTCCTCCAAACTCACCCAGCTGCAGCCACTTGCTCATCCCAATCTAACACAGGCAAGTTGTCAACACCCAACGTGTAAAGCAACAGCCCAGGTGAAGCACAAACAGCAGCTTTGTGGGAGGGGGGGACGGTGACAAGGGGGGGGGACGGTGACAAGAGTGTTCCATGTTTTTGGAAATGAAAGGTGGCAGGTGTCCTACCTCCTTCTTCTCCTTGGCTTCGTTCTTCATCTGCTCCCTGTGCCACAGCTTTTTGACATTCTTCATCTGTGACTTGGAAATAATGGCCCATCTCTGAGGAGAAAGCAGGAGACACAGGATTATGTTTGTGTCCTTGCACACCCAGCAGCGTTACAGTAACTCCTCCTGGGAACCCCAGCACCACAGCACCTCGTTTTCCTTCTGAGAATCCACGTAAATAGTAGGAAAGGGCTCCTTTCCTGCTGTCATCAGCGCCTGGAGAGGGGAGAAAACAACGGGATCAGCAGCGCTGCGAGCCACCCAGCGCCACCCTCACAGAGCAGGGGTTCTCCCTCCGACCCTCCCCGCCAGAGCTGCAGAACCAGCACGAAACTCCCACCCAGGAACACACGGGCAGTCCCCGGGCTAAAGCCCAAAGCGGCTCACGCCCAGCTCAGCCCACACAGGGGGCCCCACAGTTACCTTGAGAACGGTCTTGAACGGTTTCTTCTGGGTGCCATCGCCAGTGGAATCGCTGCCCTCGCGTTCAGAAACGTAGAGCTCTTCTGTAAGACACGAGAAACACGGGCAATCACTCACTAAAGAAAGGGAATAAACAAACCCAGCCGTGGCAACGGTGAGGAAGGAGCTGGACACACACGAGGGCACACAAGGGTCGGGGTTATCAGCAG